TCCACCATTAAAATCCATTGAATATACCACCTCCAAAAAGAATAATGGAAAAGCAAAACCCACCTACGGATATAGCCCATTTCTAGGCAAGCCCAAGGTCACCCAATCATCCAGGACAATTGCCATCAACCACGGCTTTTGGGTTACCCAAGTATGTGGTTTAGCACTGAAAAGACATTGCAGACACACAACTGCTCGTCTGGGACCCTAAAAAAGCACAATCAATCCCCATCAACTAAGCATATTGACCCCCATGTCATGATGGCTTGCCGCCTAATTTTTCGGGCTAGCCCCAGAAGCGAAAATTCAAGTGATCAGACATGTGATTTGCGGCAGCTGCGGCAGCTGCGGCAGCTGCGGCTAACCGAATTACATTTGAGTCCTTCAAGCGCCGGCTGTGCCATTTTCCCACTTTTTTTTGGACCGTGTCAGCAGACCCAACGGACACGGTAGGTCCTTGAGTGGCTGCTCTTGCCGAGGGTGCTAATGTGTCCACTCCTGCAGCGATCCAAAGCGACGATTCGATCAGAAAATGCACCCACCGTCTTCTGCAGGTGCGGATGCTTTGATGTAAACATAAGCCTCTCTGGTCCATAGGATTGGGCTTCATCACCGAGGACAGCAGGCAGGGCCCATTGACCTGCGCATCAACGGCATCCAGCAGTACAACTCAAGCGAGTGGGAGAGGATCCGATCGAAGCTTTTGTTGTACCATGTTGTACCGATATTGAACGGCTTCAGCCAGAACCCCATGTTGGGCCTGCCTCTGGCTACCACTGCCTTGTCGAGTCGACTCCATTGTACCATGTGTGTTGATTGTTGGTTAAATCATACTCAATCATCATTTTAAACGGGTAAATCATGTGAAATCACCATGTCAGATGGGCAAACCATCTTTAATTACCATACTTCTTGATTAAATCATCTTCAAACACCATTTCTTTTAGGTATGTTTAGGTTAAATCATCTTCAATCACCATTTCTTTGCTGGTTGAATCCCATTAAACCACATTTTTCCTGGTTAAACCCATGTTCTCCCTGTGGTTTTTGCAGCATCCATTTCCGCCAGGCGGCACAAGGCCGTTGAGACCGGCACCAGCATCACCGAAGTCTCCAGCTATGGGGAGCCATGGGTGGTCGAGCATCAGCAGGCAGATGCGGAAAACACTGACCATGCAATGATCATAGGCTTCATTATGTGGTTGGTTGGTGGTTTGGAACATGAATTTTATGACTTTCCATTCAGTTGGGAATGTCATCATCCCAACTGACGAACTCATATTTTTCGGAGGGGAGGGCAACCGCCAACCAGCATAGGCTTCATTATGTGTGTTCTGCGATATGATGGGATATGGATGTCTGATACATTTATAGCTATAGTATTCATGGATATTCATGGGGATTACAAATCAACCTACATACGGTATTATAGGATATAAATTATGATATAAATGGAATTGAATGGATATCTAATCGTATAGAATGAAGTATCATGTGGCATCAATGGAGTAATTCCTTCCCCCTAATACAAAACCCCCCTCCAAATAATAAACATCTCAGGTAGTTTTTATTATTAGGGTGGTATTTATTATTAGGGAACCCTATTAATAAAATTAAAATCTTAATGATAAAAACTAGTTTGCAAAATCAATGACATTTTCTCATATAAGTATATAACGCAATTAGAATATTGCCAAAACTGGATTTCGAAGCGGACCCTATTAATAAGTTTAAAACCTTAACAATAAAAACTAGTTTGTTCGATTTCAAAATCAATTAAACTTTCTTTTATAACGCAATTGAAATATTGCCAAAAATTGGATTTCGAAGCGGACCCTATTAATAAATTTAAAACCTTAACAATAAAAACTAGTTTGTTCAGTTTCAAAATCAATTAAATTTTCTTTTATAACGCAATTAAAATATTGCCAAAAATTGTTTTTCGAAGCGGGCCCTAATAATAAATTAAAAGTCCTAATATAAAAAACAAAAAAATCGGACGGACCCTAATAATAAACACCTCGGGGTTGACTAGTTTTTATTATTAGGGTGCAAAACACACAAATGGTAGCTTTATTTTTAAATTGTTTTCTAAAGGGGATCAATTAAAAGTCAAATTGGCCAATCTGAAATTTTCCAAACTGGGAGATGGACCCAGGTTTTTAGTATTTGGGGTACGTTTAGTAGTAATAGGGGGAAAGGATTATTATGGAATACTAAGGAAATACAAATGGAATATTAGTGGAAATTGATTATTGGAATATTAGTGGAAATATTATATAATTGCGATTCTCAATGGAATAGCGATGAACTATTGTCGTGGAGCATTGGAATGTTGATAGGACTCCAGTGCAGGCGTATAAGCTAGATATATGTATGTATATATACATAGAGAACGGCTATCAGATATGGAATATGTTTTGGATGTGGTCTAATTCTAACAGCATAGCGTTGTTTTTTGAGCCGACAGAATATTCATACATACCACACCCAAAAACATGTTACACATACATATACATACATGTACAACTCTATATATATATATATATACGTATGGGTAGTGCGAATATATGATATATGTTATAATATATATATATATATATATATATGATATACATATCTATATAGTCCATATATTTATGATATATATGTTACATACATACTCTACTCCCAATACACCACCCATACGACATGTTCCGCAGGTGGTGGTGCGCCGTGGACCGTCCATCAAGGATCAACCCTTGGGAGTGATGATCAAGGCCGGTGGTTTATGGAACCCCACGGTGGCCAACTACCCACGAGTTGTCAATGGGTAAATCTATGGTAAATCGATGGTAAATCTATGGTAAATCGATGGTAAATCGATGGTACATCTATGGTAAATCTATGGTAATCAATCATCAACCATATTATAATGTGGGTAAAACCATGTCATTTTTACCACCCATAACTCAATGACTGGGAATGGCAGCGATACCACCTACAAAAATGGTGATTTGGAATGGTTTATTATTGTTTTACCCACAGTATATCCCAGTTATAAGTGGGATAAGTAGGGTTAATCTGGTATATACCTCACTTACGATTCGTGGGTAGTTCGCCACCAAGCAAGAGTTTTTGAGTTTTTTTCGGAAAATCCGCAAAAGAAAATGGATGATTTAGGAATACCCCCAAATTTTTGGAAACCCCCATCTTTAACTGGGGATATCCCATATCACATGGATATGCCTTAGTGAAATCGATCCACTTATGGAACTGTATTCCCAAGAAGACACCCCTTGATGCAGCGAGAAGGGGACGCCTTTCCCAAACAAAAACGACTTTGAGTCTACAAAAAACTGTCAAAACGTGCCTTTTTTTTAGCCATTGAGTACTGTACCGTTTTTTAGCGTTGATTGTCCATGAAATTGACGTTTTTTCAGATGAACCTGAGGAAATGTTGCTGAAGGGTAGCTAAACGTTTGCTGGGTTATTTACTACCCAGTTCAAAATCATCTGTTGTAGTTTGTCTAGGATTAGTTTTGTAGAGAAAACAGAAAACTGGGCGAGTTTTGGCATGAAGTAATGAACGGAGGACATCAACATCATATGGAATTACCCCTAGTGTATGGTCCCAAATATGTGTAAATACTCTATATCCTAAACATTCCTAAACCATGGTTTCTGGGGGGGTGTTCGATATTGGGTTGGAGGGATTTCTGGGTCTAGAAATCAATTTAGAGGTCATAGCAACCTCAACGACAAAGCCTTATGAACATTCAGCCAAGCATCAATCATTGCATTAAGTCAGGTTTTGGCATGTATCACACATCAACCAGAATGTCGACATGAAAATTGAGATATCAAATGCTGACACTTGGGAAGAACAACTAACCATGGATGTGTCACCTGCAAAAGTGACAACAAGGATATGGGTTTGTGTCAAATGAAGCAGTGATTCCAGAAATTAGATGATTGATTCAAAAAAAATAACTCCAATACTTTGTGTTTGGAGGGTTTGATAGTCATGTTACGTTGGGATTGGATAACCCTTTGTTCGGCTTAGTTTGTCATTCAAGGGTGCTTTCATGTATGGGTTTTGATCACAAAACCTTGGTTTGTTCTAAATGAAAACCCCAAAATCTCAGGGGGATTTTTCATGATTTTCCCATGGAAAGTTGCAATCAGATGCTATCAGTTGGGGTAAAAACAAGCTGTTTTCAGACACACCCAATTCTCATACCCTCTGTTTATTTAACATAGCCATGCAAAGTGCACCATTTATAGATGATTTTCCCATCAATACCTCCATTTATAAGGGATTTTCCATGGCTATGTTAAATAACCAGATGGTATATGATTGCATGCGGATAGAACTGTTCAATTCCAAATCCCCAAAAAAATCATCATCAAACCACCAGTTTAAGTGTGTTCAAGCTGATCCGATGATTGATTCCGTATGTTGTCGGTTGCCAAATATTCACCCCATTAAATCAGGCGTCACGATTATTTACCACCAATTTACCAATTATTTACCCATGATTTACCACCAATTTCACCAATATTTGACAAAATTAACAAATGTGGTAAATGGGTATAGCCAAATTATTTCAAATTCTACTGGCCACCAACATAACTTTCAAATTACCTATTTACCACCCATGTGGATTTCTGTCAGCCAGGTCGAAGTCTTTTAGGGTGGATATTTCTGTTTTCGGCTCAAAGACACTGGATTTGAGTTTCACGTTCACAAACCACAGAATGACGTGAATTGAAAATGACATGTGGATGACAGAAAGTACATGAATCACGACGTATTGATACTGACTTGGAGTTTTACTTTTGTAAATGATGGGATCCAAATGTTGTTTCGTTGAAATCTCCATGTGTTGGGAACGTTGTGAAATAACAAGAACAGAGATTTCAACCAACAAACATGATGAAAGTTAAAGTACCCAATGAAATAAACCAAACGTCTGCGATTGTATTGGAACCCGTGAAAAAAGAGGACTGGGCAGCAAGCTGCCATAGAACCGGCCATAGAACCGGCCCCTAGGAGGGCGGTTCAACCACCGCCCTGCGCGCAATGTTGGCGCACTGCCCGAACGAAACGAACGATGGAGGTGCAGGAAGATCTGCTGGGGCTGCTTGGCACAAAAATGCTGGACTCGGCTTCCTATAGGGCATGTCAACTCATGTCCACCGAAAAAATGGAGATTTAACATGATTTAACATGATTTAAGCATCAGTTAACATGGGGGTTATATAACATGGTTTAATCATTGTTGGAGAGTATCTGCTTGGTGGTTTGGAACATTTTTTCTGTTTCCATATATTGGGAATTTCATCATCCCAACTGACTTTCATATTTTTCAGAGGGGTAGGTTGAAACCACCAACCAGATTATTATTAACAATCACTAACCATATAATAACATATAATAACCATCATATTAACCATGATTAACAGTATATTAACCACATGTTAACCATCAACCAGGGGGGTAGGTTGGATGCTGGGATGCAGCGGGATGACATTTCACAGCACGGTGATTTTCCATCAGCAAACCGCAGCTTCAAAAGCCACGGAGATGTAGTCATTCAACGGAGATGTAACTACATGTTTTTGTTTATTTTGTTTGGGGTTTTTTAACCACCAAATACATGAAAAAGAAGCAGTTGGCATATGATTGATGATTATATGGCATTGCCGGTGCTGACCCATATGTCCCATATGTCTTAAGATATGTCTTCAAACATGTCTTAAGATCTTTCTTGAGATGTGTCTGAAGATATTTCTTGAAACATGTCTTAAGCTTTCTCCCGTGATATTTCTTAACATATGTCTTAAAACATGTCCTAAGATCGTTCTTGAGATATGTCTGAAGACATGTCAAATATGAAAGCGTTAAGATCTGCTCAACATAGTGCTGACTGCCGCTTTGCTAGCGAATGACCAATGAGACGTCCCCATTTTCTAAACACCTCCAAGAGCCAGCTTGGAGAGGTTACTTTTTGTTATGGCATTTGGGTGATAAATGGACACATGGGAACTAAACGGGATTCAATTGTGATATAAAGGGATATATAATCCACTTGGTGATGCAGTTGAGGTGAAAAAAATGTGCGTTTTAGCGTGGAATAACCCTCACAACTTGGGATATACAGTAACTCAGTAACCTCCATATGGTGAAATCTATCCACTTAGTTCACTGGAACGGCGCTTCCAAGAACCATTCTTGAGCCATTTTGGGTTTGTCAAAGGTGCTAGTGGGGAAATCAACCAACTTTTTTTTTAAGGGCTGGCCATTTGGAAAAAAAAAGTGACATCCATGGTTCGTATCTGCCACTCTGCATTTACCTTCCCAAAAATAATGCCTTAGCTCATCATTGTGGTGTTTCTGCCAAGTTTCACTGGTACTCTCAGAGTGCTTACATAGGTTGAGAAGGTTGCCCCCGCAAAATTGCAAATGCCATCGCCGATCGCTATTTCTTTTCGCAAATGCCAGATTTCGAAGTTTCAAGTTGAGTTTTTTTTTGTAGTAGGAGCACCCTGTCTGTCTGTTTACGTATACATTTGAACATTTAGTGTTTTCGGAGATTTACCATATCACCCAGTAAAGGTTGAAGCTTAAGTAGGGAAACAACAAGCCAGCATGATCAAGCGTTTCATAGCATAATAGCTCCCATATTCTTTTATCCCACTAATTATATCTTATATTTATAAAATCATATAAATTATATATTATAATATAATATAATATAATTCAATATTATATAATATAATGTAATATAATACAATAAAATATAATACAATATAATAAAATACAATTTAATATAATATAATATAATACAATACAATATAATATAATATAATACAATACAATATAATATAATATAATATAACATAATTATATATATTGTATTGTATTGTATTATATTGTATTATGTTATATTATACTATATTATGTTATGTTATATTATATTATATTATACTATATTATATTATATTATATACATATCATTTACATATTATATACATATTATATTCTATTATATATCCATCACTGCCATGATATCCGCCCAGTCTGCGGCGTGGCGCCTGTCAGAACTGCAGCTGTCCTGGCTTCCGCCGAGTGGTGCCACTGTCACCCAGTTCTTGCAGGATGGTCATCGATTATAGCATGGCTTAAGTATTGGAGTTACCCTCTGGTTATTTGCCATGGAAGCCATGGCCCATTGATAGGTGATTTACCTTTTAAAAATGGCGATTTTAATAACCAGAGGGCAACTATCATGATGAATGGGGATAATATTGGATCTAATATAGACATCTTGTACAGAGATTGTACAGGGATCTCATAAGAGATCTTGCCAAGAGATCTCATACAGACATCTTGTCCAGGAGGTCTTGCCAAGACACCTCTTACAGAGATCTGTACAGAGACCTTGCCTTGAGGACTTGAGGTCTCCTACAGAAATCTTGCCAACAGAGCTGTTACAGAGATCTTGCCAGGAGACCTCTTATGGAGATCTTGTACTGAAACCTTGTGAAGAGAGCAGAGGTCTTGCTTGGAGATTTATAGATAGTTTGAACAGAGATCTTGCTCTTTGAGATTCCTTACAAAGATCTTCTGTGGAGATCTCCTACAGACACCTTGTACAGATAGCCTTACACAGGGATCTTGCACAGCAGCTTCTATAGAGAATCTGTCAAGGAGATCTTACGCGCGACCTTCTACAGAGATCTTCACAAAGGGAACTCGCAGAATCTTACCTGGTATCTCTTCTTTTCACTACTAGGGTCGCTCTTGTCCTGCTAGCTTTCAGCAACTGATGCTTTTAGGTCCTTTCCGCCTTTCCTCCACCTTTTCATCCTCAACTTCATCTTCCGCATAATCATCCTCATCCTCATCTTCCTCAACATCATCATCCTCCACATCATCATCCTCCACCTCATCTTCCGCAACATCATCCACCTCCACCTCCTCTTCCGCAACATCATCCTCCTCCCCTTCATCTTCTGCAACATCACCCTCCTCCACCTCATCTTCCGCAACATCATCCACCTCCACCTCCTCTTCCGCAACATCATCCTCCTCCCCTTCATCTTCTGCAACATCACCCTCCTCCACCTCATCTTCCGCAACATTATCATCCTCAACATCATCCTCCGCAACATTTTCCTCCTCCTCCTCCTTCTCCTCATCATCATCCACATCATCATACATTATCCTCCCACTCCCGCACATTTTTTGTGGTCTCTTGCCGGGACAGTATTTTTTGGCGGCCTTCCTTGTTCCAAGTAGCAGTTCTGCTTGAATGCGTGCTCATTCCAGGTTCCCCACTTTGTAGAGGCCATTGGTTCTTACAAATCTTGAAGGTGCCCCCGAAAAAAGGGGCTTGGGTGCCCTGATTTTGTAGAGAAAACATCTTGCTACATTTGTGGCAGGTTCCTCATTCTGCAGAGGCCTGGGACCCCTTAAACCAGATTTGCCCCCACAGAATGGGAACCCCCAACCCCCCCAGGTCATTATTTTGGGGGTATGAAAATCCTGTTGAAATACATTGACATGGATGATTTGGAGGTACCTCCATTTTCAGGAAACCTCCATTTGTATATACTTTATATATATATACACATTTGCATAGATGAACATCCAGCCATACCAGCTATTGTGGTGTGAAAACCAGGGCATGACCAGGTTTTGATCCATAGCCATTTGAACAATTGTTTAAAGATCTGAACTCATGAAAACACATAAGTTTGTCTATTTTGCACTATTTTGTTCATGGCATGGGTTTTTAAGTTTTGAGTTCTTAATCTTCAAATCAACCCTTTGTCCATGTTGCATTGTTGGTAATTTATTCTTATGATATTTTGTGGATACATGGGGATACTTCTGGTAAACTAACATAGATATGGAAAATCACCATTTACAATAAATATGTTCATGAGATATTTTCATAGATAAATCACCATTATAACAATAAATCACCATTTACCATAGGTAAATCCACTATAAATCACCATTTTCAATAGATAAAGAAATCGGTACATGAAATATTTTCATGAGCCACTTTCAATACTTTCTGCATCGTTTTGCTTGGGATTTCCCAGGCCGAACTCGAGTTCTTTGGACGATGGAAAGTCTTCAGGCAACGGGGCGGACGGAGTGTGGAGTGACTGGGGAAATCACAATTGTATGGGGATATAATGGAGATATCATGGGATTTATGGTGTTAATGGGATTTATGGTGGCTTAATGGGATTTAATGGGATTTATGGTGGTTTAATGGGATTTAATGGAATATGATTGTCGATTTAAAGGTCCATGACTGGCGAAAAAAACATGTTCGCGAAGAATGGCCTTTTGCGGATAAAGGAATTTAGATCAATCGCCATATGATATATATATATATATATATATATATTATATATATATTACATAATGATTTAATGGGGATTCGCCTGCAAGTGATTTTTTCAGCTGTAGATAATCGGGGGATATAATTGGATATGAAATTTGATCTTTGGGAAATCCAATGGATATTTCTCTGGATCCCCTCTGGTAAACATACAGAAAACAATTGAACATCACCACTTTCAATAGGTAAATCAGTAAATCAACTATACCCTCTGGTAGATTAACAGTTCGACCCTGAAAATATCCATTGTTTAGTTGAAACATGTTGAAACTAATCTTCCAATCCCTATCTGCCATATGTCTATGTTACCGGAGGGTAACTCTTTTTTGACTGGGAAAATAATTTTTCAGTTCGCAAAGTGTGAAATTACCAGAGCTTCTTGGGATAGTTTTGGGGGATCCATTCCGGCAGGGGCACCTTTCGGGGGGGGATCGATAGGATTGGCCATACAACAAACTAATTCTGGTTGGTTTTACCTATTAAAAATGGGTGGATCTTTCCATGGCAAACTGTGAGTCATAACCAGAGGGTACCAGCAAAATCATTACCAGAAATAGCTGGTTGGTGGTTTCAAACATGGCTTTTATTTCCCATTTCATATATGGGATGTCATCCTTCCCGTTGACTTTCATATTTGTAAAGATTGTTATTGCACCACCAACCAGAACTAAATATTCAATCCATTTTTTTGGTGGGGCATAGTATTTAAATGCATTTACTGTAGTTGATCATCTTGTTTGTGAATCGTAAGGGCAAAAACAGAAAAGGTCCAGGGTCAGAATTTGGACCAAAAAACTCAAGCCCATTGAAGATTTGATTAAGTAAATAACTGTTCTTTGAGGTCTCGACATTTTCGGATGTTGAAACATTACATAGATTTAGGCCCCTCCGGTATGTTCTTGTTGCTTTTTCGAAGCTTAAATATATTATAGCTGTGGGGGTTTGTTTCTGCTCCAGTTTCATACCTCAATTCCGTTGACCTCGCCGGCGCTTTCCCATGGCATTGAAAAGATGGTCGCCTGTTCCACAGTCCACGGCGCATCATTTTCCCTCATGGCCCATGGAAATTTGGGGGCAAGCCCACATCACTTTGTTGTTGTCCATGATTTCATATGAAAAAAAGGTGGTGCCACCCAGTTTTTCTGGTTGGTTATGTAAGATGGTAACAAAAAATCCACGGCCGAACTTGTCATTTTTAGGTGTCGTCTCCGGCGCCTATGCTCCGTTTCTCTTCAGATGCTCCTGGGGCTTTTTATTCGCGTGAATGGTTGGTGAATGTGCGGATGCCAGCTCCAACAACTATAATTCTAGCCAACTAGCAGGGGGAAACTAAAATGGCTATGATGGAGACGGTGAGACGCATATGAAAAAACAATCTGGGTATTATTTGCAAAGACTAGGTTCTCCCCAACTAAAATGGTGTTGCAACCAATAAATAGCAGGTAGCATGGGCACGGGAACTCCTCCAAAGAACTAAGGACATTTATCCTTGAAATGGATGGTTATCTCTCAAATTTGATGTCCACTCCAATTTTGATAATTTACATTCATGTCGCATCATCTAGCCATATTTTACTGGTATCCTAAGGTTAGGCACAAGGCTGCCCCGCCCTTGTTCGTGATCCTGCTTATTGGTCCAATCCCCCATGATTGGTCAGTTTCCCCACTTTTGTAGTTGAAATCGAATGCTATATTTCAATATATTTCAGGTATGATTCATTACCATTTCATCCTTTCGTTGATCATCATTTTCCCTTTTTCAGACAGGTGGAACGTAAACAGGTGATGTTGGGCCCCATTGACAGATCGAGGTGATGCCTGCGGATGCTTCTCGAAGGCGGAAACGGACTGGTTGGACTGGTTGGACTAGCCATGAAAGTGATGGCCTGATTGGTCATTGAACCATGGAATGTATGGAATATATGGAATATATGGAATGGAATCACCAATTTTGGTCCCGTATCAATATCAGTTTTAAGTTTTAAGCACATAAAATGGTGTTTTTTTGTGGCCGGTACATGATGGTTGATTGCTAATGAGTGGGTTTTTTAGACTACACAGTGTGAGTAGATTATTGGTGAAAAATATAATGGGATAATAATGATTTTAAAAAAAAACATGGGATATATGTTTCAACACTAATGGGATATTTACCAATAACCAATAAACTACAAATCATCAATGGCGAATGGGCTAATGGGATACCAATAACCAACCAGTGTCGGATGGGATATTTTTGTATGTTACATGGCTCGATTGGTGATCAGCCACCGATATGTATCGTTTGGGGGGAATGACATGGGTAAACTAAGTTCCTGAGATCTTTTGGATTGAGTAAACCGGTAGGTATTTAGACACCACCCATCAATATCTCACTGACTCACTGCAAATTGCTAGCATTTTCGCAGGGAATACCCTCTGGTAAACGTCTACGTAACTATGGAAAATCACCATTTTACAGCTGGGTAAATTCACTACTTCTATGGCCATGTTCAATAGTTTTTTGTTAGTTTACCGGTCAACGGCCACGACCTCCGCAACGCCACTGGAATGATCGTATAGTATATATAGGTTAGAGAAGTCATATAATAGGAAACAATTAACCTACAATATACTATATCAATAAACCTATAGCTATATATATATATCAATATCCCAACTAACCTATAGTAATATATATATACAGATAGTAATCAATTAACCTCAAAACATGATTTTCGCCGGGATTTTTGCGGTGGCAGTTTTAAATTTGGCACCTGTCGGCTTCACCTGGCCCAGCAAATTTCTGAGATGGTGGTTTTTCCAGACATCTTTTCTTGTAGCTAATTAGCATATACTGTATACATTACCTTGGGGGGCAATTTCGATTCAATCTGGTTGGTGGTTTGAAACATGAATTTTATGTTCCATAATATGCTGGGGCTAATCCTTCCCATTGACTCATATTTTTCAAGATGGTTAAAACCACCAACCAGCAATGAAATTCCATGTTTTCTTTATTCTTCTGATGTTCATGTGGGTCAAAGTTCAAGACCCAGCTGGCCGTGCAGGATCATCAAGCTGCACCGCAGGTCCCAAGTAACTTGGAACGAACTCACAGGGCCTCGGGGGATCAGTTGGCACCATGGAGTGGCGGCGAGCCCTGCTGGATGACTAGTTCCAGGGTTATACAGTTATATTGTTATACTACATTACTATCTCACATGGTGTGGATTGTCATGATCCATTAGAATCTCTATTACCGGACCCAACCAGTACAAGGAAATGACCGAGGCTTTCGAACATGTTCTTCCGCCTGTCTGCATTGACACATGCCCTCGTTGACGCTAACGAAGAGACCAGAGTCCTTGTAGGCCATGGGGGTTGTATGAAAATCTATGGAAAAACACCGAATCCACTGCTTGCTCTCAATGCTGATGAACATACAGGATGGTGCCCCCCAGTTATAAGTTGGTTTATAAACCCCATTAACTATAGTTATACCTACCATAAACCAAATTTGTGGGAGTTATAAACCAACTTAGCTAACTATGGGGCACCACCTTGTATGTTTTCTCTTATATAACATGGCCATACATTGGAGAAGTATACCCCCATGGTCAGACACAGCCAGGGCAGCCGGGGCTCCATTGTTGCTGATGGTTAGGGGAAATCATCCCCAAATGGCCAAACTAATCTGGTTTAGGGAATATGGGGCTTTCCTCAAATGGAGCTACTCCAAAATGGATGGTTTATTTCATGGAAAATCCCATGAAAATGGATGATGACTGGGGGTACCCCCATGACAAAACGGAAACCTCCATATCATGATTGTCCCAGATTGCCTCGAAATTTGTGTAGACTGCAAAATAAATGCTCGAATACAGGGGAAAAGGATGTGTTCTGTGGTCAATTTTGGTGGGTCCATTGGTACCGTACCAGTTTCAGCCCAATCTTAGGTTCCAGCATGATGATGTTGTCCAATCCTGCACTGCTGCCCTTGCCAAGTATCAAATATTGTCCAAAAAGGGTCCTGCAGTTTTGTGAAAACCTTTATATCGTCTTATGTAACTTTTCCATTCAAGTCTACTTTGGGGATGATTTCCCATTCACCATCCCGAAATCATCTCCCAATATAAACCATCCCCAAGTTCATTCCAACCTGGTTTTGAGTTGTTTCAAATCTACTTTGGTTTGTTTTTGTCCCAGTGGCTCGTCGTTTTGCAGAAACCACTGGTTTTCCAAGGGATGGCGCCAGTTTAAGACAATCCCGATGCACGTAGCTCAGGTCTTGCAGCGCCAAAGATGGACAGCGCTCAGGTCTTTGGCCGACTCTGGAGATTGCTCCGAGAGTTGAGAGATATCCTTTTCCGAAATGTGGGTCTAATCTATATAAAAGCTGATTGGTGGTTTGGAACATGACTTTTATGACTTTCCATTCAGTTGGGAATAATCATCCCAAGTGACGAACTCATATTTTTCAGAGGGGTTGAAACCACCAACCAGATATATAAAAGCAACCGTTTTACATCGGTCATCTGGATTCTTAGCGGGAGTCAAGTTGATAGAATGGGATGATCATCGGATGTAATGGGATAGTACATCTATAATCAACAACATGAAATTGGTTTGATTTTCTTTGTCCGAAAATGGTTCCGATGTCGCTTCCTTTTTTGTGGCTTGTTGCCATTGAAAATTTCTCGATACACCATGGGATGTTTCAGGTACGGAAATCAGCCCAAATGGTCAGTCGCATTTTCTGAGTTGTCTGAATGTATTGTTGTTGGCCCCTGGATCATCCTGGATCATCTTGGATCCAACGTCTCAAGCAGTGCTGTAGGTTTGAGACCAGACACTATTCGATGGCAGACCTTGGGTCCATATCTGATAATCCACAGCGTCCATTCTGGTAGTATCTGGTAGTATTTGGTAGACGTTGCCTACATTTCAGGGATACTGGAGTAGAGATGAACAAGCAAGACAGTAATTCAACAGATAGGTTTGGTAGCAATGATTCAATCTATGATTTTGAAATCAAAAATGCTTGGGATTTTATATACCCTCTGGTAAACTAACATAACTATGGAAAATCACCATTTTAAATGGGAAAATCCACTATTTCTATGGCCATTTTCAATAGCTACGTTAAATTACCAGAGGATAAGACAAGTTGATCGTTCGGAAATCACCATGGCAATGCTTGTTCGCAACGTGTCCTTCCCGGCCTGAGGCTGCGGCGAGTCCTTCCTTGACGAAGACTCCCGTGGTCACAGACTTTGAGCGAGAAGAGAACTTCAAGGATCATTTTTCTGGATAAATTATAGCGACCTCACTGTTCTCCCGAGCCCTGGAATCATGGTTAATAAGGGGAATTATCCCCAAATGGCCTTAATTCAGGTTAGTGAAATATTATAATTTACCCAGATTTTTAGGGATGGTTTATGACATTGGGTTTACCACATTCACTTCAAAAACCAACAACCAAGTTCTGGGGAAAAAAATTACGACCGGTCACCCTGTTCTCAACCCTGGAATGATTGTTAGGATTCGGGCAATTCTGCCTGGTTGGCGGTTTGGAACATGATTTTTTTCCCATATTTACCATTTATTTATCCATTTCATATGCTGGGGATGTCATCCTTCCCATTGACGAACTCCATCATTTTTCAAGATGGTAGGTATACCACCAACCAGATATAATTAACCAATGATTAACCATCATTAACCAGATATTTTTCAAGATGGTGAAATTGCACCACCAACCAGATCCCAATGGGTACCCCGTTTTGGACGGTCACCGTAGACCGGCCACGGGTCACCCGTTGTTCACCCGAAGCATTTTACTCTGCTTGGGGCCCCCAAAGAAGAGCTAACGTTGGTGAGTTTATAACTCCAATAACTATGGTCTATGGTACTTATATCACTTTATATCTATAGTTAATGTTTTTATAACGGAAGTTATAACTGGGGGGTCCCACATTTTAGGGGAAAGGGACTAAGTAACCATAGTTGTAGTCATACCTCCAAGCAAATGAAGCGGCTCAGCCAAGCTGGCCGTTCTCGCTTGGACCCGTGTCAAAGTGGCTAGAACTTCGAAAAAATGATAGTAAAAATGGAAGGAATTCACATCAATGATGAGAAAGAGGAATTACTGTATCAACCGGAATCAATTCGGAATCAGACTAATGAATAGTGAAGGTGACCATGAATAATTATCAAACGGAATCCATTATTGTTAGCTGGCTGGTGGTTTGGAACATTTTTTATGTTTCCATATATTGGGAATGTCATAACCCCAACTGACTTTCATATGTTTCAAGATGATTATTGCACCACCAAGCAGTTAGGATTAACTCGGATCAACCATCTATTTCTATGGGCCATTTTCCATGGCTATGTTAAATAACCAGAGGGTATTAGGATTAACCATGATGTGACTGATATGACAATCTGTTTGGGCCTCTGATCCAGGACTTAGTGTTTCAACCTGAAGCCTTGCGGCCGTTGATTCCCTGCTTGAAGGCGCGCAAATGCAGGCGAGGCGAAGGGCAAGAAACAGGGGGAGAGGACTTTCACATCGAGATGGTTGTTACCCTCTGGTAAACTTTCACATAACTATGGAAAATCACCATTTTTCATGGGTAAATCCACTATTTCTATGGCCATTTTCAAGGTAGCAAAGTGTAAACGTTTACCAGAGGCTATTTCTGGTGGGAAAAAGATGATACCGCCATGAGATGGGTTAATGAGCATATAAAATTATATAGAATGATATAGAACTAGAGTTAGAATGGGATGTATATAATGGAATCAGCAATCATATGCATTTCATGGAGATATAACTATAACTATGATTACAATGGGATATACAACCAACATCAACCAACTATTTGAGTCTGATTGAAATAGGGGACACTTCCCAAATGGTTATCTAGATCGAGAAAATGATAATAAAGTCAGTGGATGGAATGGGTCAGCCTATTTTCAGTCGAACCCATATGTTGCCTGATACAACCCCAGATCAGTAGTGGCTGACCCTGTATCAGGGGCAGTTTATGAACATGTCAGCCCATAACAGCATCCAGAAACCTATGCTAGATTTTTCCTGAATAGTACATGGCAATACTCTCCCCACCCTCTGGTAAACTAACATAACTATGGAGAATCACCATTGTTAATGGGAAAATCCACTATAAATGGTCATTTTCAATAGCTATGTTAAATTACCAGAGGGTAACTTTTTTTTGGGGATTCCAGTCAGATGTGTTTGCAACTACGGTGAATTTCTTGTGAAGGCGGGGTCGGCGGGGCCCATAAATTTCGAAAATTGCATTCAAAATGTGTCTCAATTCGTGACCTAATCTCCACATTGACTAACCAAAAACATCCAAAAACCTCCAAAGTCCGGGGTATCTCCCATGAAATTTTTCCCAAACAAGTCATTTCCGAATATCGCATTAAATCAAGAAATCCCAAAAAAAGTCAGATTCAAATCCCGAAAAAAAACTAGGTTTCCTCCATAGTTTCTACCATTCATCTGGGTAAATTATAACGACCTCACTGCGACCGAACCCTGGAATCATGGTTAATAAGGAAAATCATCCCCAAATGGCCGCACTATTCAGGTTCGTGAATTATTATAATTTACCCAGATTCATCCAAAAAATATCTCCTATGAAATCCCAGTCACAGCCGTAGTGGTTGCCAAATCCTGCAGTTGAAAATGGTGGTGAACATCCCACCATTTAGGATGGGTGTCAACCTTTTTTTTGTTGTGCAGGATGGGTTTCAACCATCCACAGTTGGTTAAATCCCCATGGGTATCATTATAATTGGTTAAATCTCCAGTAATCAGTAAATCTCCATTATATCATCCATTGATTATAGTTGCTTTAAAACGGGTTAGTTGATTAAATCTCCATCATGAAATCTCCATTGATTATATCATCCAATCTCAATCATGACTGGTTGGTGGTTTCAAACATGACTTTTATTTTCCATCATATGCTGGGGATGTCATCCTTCCCATTGACGAACTCCATCATTTTTCAGAGGGGTTAGTGCACCACCAACCAGACCATTAACCATTATTAACCATGGAAATCCCTTTGGAAATCCCCATCAACCTGTACATCTTTGATGGTCAACAGCACGGCTTTCCAGCCACAGTACCTCCAGCGTACCTCCAGCAGGATCTGTGTCCTGGGCGGTTCCATCTCGTTGCAGCAGCGCGGCTATCGCCCCAACCTGGCAGAGGCCTTGCGGCGCCGCGGCGTGGCACCTAGGCTTAGCCGATACCGCCGATAGCCGTGGCTTTCCCAACAAATGGATGAAAAATGTCCTGGGATAATCCTTCCCATTAACCATAATATATGGGATAACCCATGAATTAATGGTTACTGTACTATAGTGGTAAAGATTAATGGTTATTATGATGTTCCCCATGAAATGACATGAAATGACGCCATGAAATGGGAGGCAGAAATGTTGTCCGATGTTCGAAATGTACCACGGACCCAAATATGGATATGTCACCGTGCTAAAAGGCGAATTTCAACCTGATTTCACCGTGAAAAATGCGACGTTGACCAGATTTACATAGCCCTCAAGAATCTGGATTTAACAAGATTTAATCAGGCACGAAAATGGATACAACTAGATAACCAGCCAAAACTATGTGCATTACAAAATAGGGATTGAAGCATGAAAATTAGCCCAGAATTATGATTTGACCACCCAAAATGAGCAGAAATTCGAGGTATTGTTATGGATTTAACCCGCAACAAATGGCTATCTAACTGGCAGTAAACGGATTTACCTGGAATGGGTGATATGAAACCATCATGGGGGGAACAATGGAATACTGGTTGGTGGTTTGGAACATTTTTATTTTTCCATTCAGTTGGGAATAATCATCCCAACTGACTTTCCTATTTTTCAGAGGGGTTGAAACCACCAACGAGTGTATATTTATTGGAAAACTATACCCATATGCTCCATGTATGGTATATTTACCTACATTTGATCGTCACACCATTGCCCGCTTGCTCGTGCCACATACGGCAAGAGGGTAAACTTTCGCGATCAGGTCAGCCTTTGTGACGAGGAGCCCCTGACTGGTTGTTGTTTCGGCTTCATCCAGAGCGAACTGCGATTTGTATTTGGTTGCACTCTTTTGCTTGTGCTCTTTTTGTGATCGGTATGGCTGATTTGGAGGGAGGTCATACCAGTGGTGATGATGCTGCGGATGCGGTGGCTTCTTCCAAGCGGGTCAGCACGAAGCAGCAGCAGAAGGAGCCCTTGGTGATGACCAGGCGGCGTAAGTATGAGATGTGGTGCGATGACAACGATGAGCTTCTTCAGTACTGTCTTGGACAACCCGGTTTTCTCAAACTGGAGCAGGAGGAAGCTTCTGGACTTTTGGAGAACCCTAGTGAGCGTCTTCAAACAGAATTGGACTGTACCAACAATCAGCCGCGAAAGCGGCGCACACTAGTGGGTCTCAACAAAACGATGTGCCGCTGCCATGGTTTTTGATTTTGCATTTTGGGATATAGTAGATATAACTATAGTTAATGGGATATGTTACAGCAAAATCCGGGTAAATTCATCACGACCTCACGTCGCGATATCATGGATAATTGGGCTAACATAATGCAATATCCCAAATTAGACACGGATTTCTACCAATCATGAATTTAAGATACCCCCAGCTATCCCAGTACTCTTGACCAACTGATTCATTTACTGGTAACCTACCTTATCCCACTTGATTGTGGTTAGTCAGACATTCATTGCTGATGAGGAATGTCACCCCAGTATCCCACTAACCCACTAGTACCAGTAGTACCGCACAAGGCGGTGGCGGAAGTTTCAAAAATAGGAAACCTATAGGAGAGCTTGGTTGTTGTGAATCAGGGATGGCAGAGCGAATCCACTGATGGACCGAAAGGTGCTTGAGATCTCCTCTCTTTCTCTCTCTTTCTCTGACTACCGACCTAACTACCTACCTACCTACCTACCTACCTACCTATCTATCTATCTGTCTGTCTGTCTGTCTACCTGTCTATCTGTGGTGCAGTGTCATTCAGAGTAATGTAGTGTAGTGTAGTGTAGTGGGGCGTAGTGGACTGTAGTGTAGTGTAGTGTAATGTAGTGTAGTGTAGTGTAATTTAGTGTAGTGGAGTGTAGTTGTGTAGTTGTGTAGTTGCGTGGTTGTAGTTGTAGTTGTAGTGTAGTGTAGTGTAATGTAGTGTAGTGTAGTGAAGTCTAATTTAGTGTACTGGAGTGTAGTGGAGTGTAGTGTAATGTAGTGTAGTGTAGTGTAATTTGCTGTAGTGGAGTGTAGTGTAATGTAGTGTAGTGTAATTTAGTGTAGTGGAGTGTACTGGTGTAGTTGTAGTTGTAGTGTTGTGGAGTGTATTGTAGTGTAATGTAGGGAAGTGTAGTGGAAGGTTGTGTGGTGTAGTGTAATTTAGCGTAGTGGAGTGTAGTGGAGTGTAGTTGTGTAGTTGTAGTTGTAGTGTAGTGGAATGTAGTGTAGTGTAATGTAGTGAAGTGTAGTGGAATGTAATTTAGTGTAGTGGAGTGTAGTGGAGTGTAGTGTAGTGTAATGTAGTGTAGTGTGGTGTAGTGTGGTGTAATTTAGTGTAGTGGAGTGTAGTTGTGTAGTTGTAGTTGTAGTGTAGTGTAGTGGAGTGTAGTGGAATGTAGTGTAATGTAGTGTAGTGTAGTGTAATTTAGTGTAGTGAAGTGTAGTGGAGTGTAGTGGAGTGTAGTGGAGTGTAGTTGGGTAGTTGTAGTTGCAGTTGTAGTTGTAGTTGTAGCGTAGTGGAGTGTAGTGTAGTGTATGTAGTGTAGTGTAATGTAGTGTAGTGTAGTGGAAGGTAGTGTAGTGCAATGTAGTGTAGTGAAGTGTAGTGTAGTGTAATGTAGTGTAGTGTAGTGAAGTGTAATTTAGTGTGCTGGAGTGTAGTGGAGTGTAGTGTAATTTAGTGTAGTGGAGTGTAGTGTAGTGTACTGTAGTGTAATTTAGTGTAGTGGAGTATAGTGTAGTGTAATTTAGTGTAGTTGAGTTTAGTGCAGTGTAGTGCAGTGTAGCTGTTTAGTTGTGTAGCTGTGTAGTTGTGTAGTTGTAGTTGTAGTGTTGTGGAATGTAGTGTAATGTAATGTAGTGTAGTGGAGTGTAGTGTAGTGTAATGTAGTGTAGTGTAATGAAGCGAAGCGAAGCGAAGCGAAGCGACATCTGAACCTCCAAAAGTGGTCCGAAACCCTAGTATTTTGAACATTTTGACTTGGAAATGTGCTTCGCGCCACAACGGCGTGCACTTTTTCGACATCGCAACTTCCAAAAGTGGTCCGACGCTGGTGTGTTTTGTACATTTTGACTTGGAAATGTGCTTCGCGCCACAACGGCGTGCACTTTTTCGACATCGCAACTTCCAAAAGTGGTCCGAACCCCTAGTGTTTTGTACATTTTGACTTCGAAATGTGCTTCGCGCCACAACGGCGTGCACTTTTTCGACATCGCCTCTTCCAAAAGTGGTCCGACGCTGGTGTGCTTTGTACATTTTGACTTGGAAATGTGCTTCGCGCCACAACGGCGTGCAATTTTTCATCTCTCATCTAGCCAGCTAGCTCCGCACCCGCCGCTTTAGCGAGCCTACTTTTCGACCCTCCGGAGCCACAAATCATTGGAAAAACACAGTGTTTCGCGACTTTCTTCTAATCTTCTTTCTTCTTACTCTTTCTCTTCTACTCTTCTTTCTTCTAATCTTTCTCTTCTCTCTGCCTCTTCCCTACTCTGCTTTTCATCTGTCCATATTGTCGGAAGTTTGATTTCTAAACTTCCTTCGATAATCCTACTTAATCCCAGTTGAGTCAAGAATGTGGCTGAGGAATAGTCAAGAATAGTCATTACGAACACTTCACTAATACCAACCCAGTTGAGTCAAGAATTACTGATCAAATTTAATCGCAGTCATCAGCGATAAGGATTCTCTACTTCGGGGTTCATCCTACTTAGGGAGTTTTTTTTAAATAACCCCATTTATAAATATGCCCCCCCCAGTGATGTTTGTTGCTTTATAAACCGCATGAACTAGAGTTTATACATACCAAAAAAACCATAGGTATTGGAGTTCTGACCAACTTAGCTATCCCAAATCAGCTGAAAATCCCATGAAATCCACCTGTTTCTTGGATAAAATCCACCATTTTCCCACTGAGGCCGTTGAGGATCTCCCCGCTGCGGTGGGCACTGCAGGGTGTCGACCCTTGTCCTTGGTGCCTTGGGGCCAGGAACGGCCGGAACGGCCGTTCGGAACGGTCATGGGGACGAAGGCACCAACAAGAATAGGGGTCAATGATTGGATATGTGGATATATCTGGGTAAATTGTATTAAATTATCATATTTAGTAAGGGGATCATCCCAAAAAGGTGCTGTACACGAAATTCTAGGTAGTGAAATATGATAATTTACCCAGATATATGACTGGTTGGTGGTGACTGGAACATGACTTTTATGACTTTCCATTCAGTTGGGAAAAAAATAATCCCAAGTGACGAAGTCATATTGTTCAGAGGGGTTATTGCACCACCAACCAGATGATATAGTATGATATAGTATAGTTCCTACTTTCATGGGAGATGATGGAACATAACCTGGATAGCACTGCAATCGAGCCCTGGAATGATGGGTCAGTAAGGGGTCACTGTCCCAAAATAGCCGAACTTTTCAGGTCAGTGAATTATTGTAATTGACACAATTTGGTGAAAGCAGGGATGCCACGCAGGCAGCAAAAAAACGATAGTAAATAATGTGGTAGATCCAATAATAAACCTACCACACCAATAAACATGGGGATGTTGGTGATGTTTATGTCATTGGATTTACCACTTTATATAGAGGCTTTCGTAGAAATCCAATTTTGAGTCACGAAGAATTGGTATAACTTGGATTACCACCCTGCCTGATGGAAGGTTTCGCTATATTCCACTAAGAGTGGCTAGGCTGATTGATAGGAGCCTGGTTTTGTGGCAGTGATGCTGGTGATTTTGACTTGGGATAACTCAGGGTGCAACCTTGACAAATGGTAGATGGAAACGGTTTTGTAGATCTTTGTGGATTGAACTGTAAGATTTTTTTCCAACAAGATATGTCAATTTCCGATATGCCCACTGGTTAGCGCTTTCAGATCTCAACTAGAAAAGTGGGGGTTGACCAACAATGATGACTGATGAGAACCAATAGACTGTCACCAGTAATACTGGACTCTGATTATTATTTGGGGTGATGATACATGGCGGATGATACAGGTAAATCCTTCGCCACATTGAGTGATGTCTGGAAAGTGACATCTTACGAGCCCTCTTTTTCGCGGCTACATGTTTGCTGGATTATGGGTAACATGTATAAATGGATATTGATTAAACTTTATAAACCATTTCGCTGTAGTTCATCCTTGATGTTTTTATCATTCTTCACTGTTAATGACACCGAACTCTTGTAACCGTTAGACCAGGAAACTTAAGTGGCGATTGGTTTGCATCATTTTGATGGTTTTTTTTAAACCATTCTGTTGTTGATTAAACCAGCATTTTCGCTGTTTACCATCTGGCTATTTAATGGTTTGCCGTGGAAAATCACCATTTTCAATATAGGTAAACCCTGGTAAACCATCTATAAATGTGCCATTTTCTATGGCTATGTTAAAGAACCAGAGGGTAACTACTATTCTTGTTGGATGAATTCTGTCATACCCCGACAGTCGCAAAGCGCTTGAGGTTGTGAACGAGTTGGTCCTGACCAAGCAGCCAGACCTGCTCATCATCGAGGCAAACGTCGGAATGCAAAGGGATTTCCTCCTGTCTTTTTCGGTCTCAAAATGCGGTATCCCGTAATGTAACCAGAAAGAATGATGGTAATCAGCGTTGAATCAACCATGATGTTTGTTGAACCTCCTGTAATTCAACGGTGTTTACATGGAAAATCCTAACCTTGAGTCAGAAATTTTGGGATCATCAACTATGTTCAGTGCGTATTTTTCCGTTGGGAGGTTAAAGTACTAGAGGCTACTGTACCCCAAACTGTAGCAATCTTGTCAAAAATGTGATCAATTGTGATAAACGTGGACTTTGGGGAGTTCATTGCGCCCTTTTTTGGCGTAACGTCCTTTGAACGTGCCAACTGGGTATGGAGATGCTCCTGTCGGATCATGATCGACCAACAGAACGGGCACCTGGTGTAAAACCTGGAAACCTCAACTTACTGGTGTTTTTTATATATATATATATAATTTATATATATATAAGAAGAAATGGGAGACATATACTTGTAACTTCAGAAGCTATTTCATGAATCATCCCTTTCCCCCATTCCCAACTTGCATTAGAAGCCATAGAAAATATATGAAAATATCACCTATCACCATCTATCACCTTTGGGCCATCTTGGACCATCACCAGGCCCCGCAACGCCCGCGTTGCCCGTGTTGTCCATCGTTGCAGGTGGCCGTGAACGACGGCGACGACTTGCTCGAGAGCACGCCCTGCGGCGCCAGCGCTGTGCTGATCCGCCAGGCTGCCGAGGGCATCGTGCGCACCACGCGGCGCCGCTGTCCGCAGACCGTGCCGTGGCGCCGTGGCGGGCGGCTGGCCATGGGAGCCGTGGGAGCCATGGGAAGCCATGGTGAGTTTACCACGAAAAATGGACGATTTCAGATGGGTATGGATCAATACCTATTAATACCATTTTTAGTGGGATGAACATCCATTTACCAGCTATTTTGATGTTCACCAGGGGTACAAGGTTTTGACAGACTGCCAGATGAGTTTTGGGTGTCTGTTTGCGAAGTGGGCTTATAAAGAGATTCACTAGGATTTGTAGAAGACTTGTCAGTTTCAGTAGCTGGGTAGCTGGGGCTTGTAAGCCAATTTAGCTAAGTATGGGACACCACCTTGTGCTGGATTTCGAGCAGAAAACTGCTGTGAAATTTGGGGAAAATGGGTTTCGAAATTGATTTTGGAAGATCTATAAGGTATTTGGATAGGAAATCTTCAGCTTTCCACGTGAACCGACCTGAAAACATACTACGTCTGGTGGGCTGTCTTCAATTCCATGAACTCTTAGGTGACTGTCTCCGTTTTCCATGTTTTTGCCACGGGGTCGCAAACTGCACTGGCGGTACTTAAACTATTTTCCCATGAACTTATGACTTATGTAACTTATGTTGATCCTGAACTTTTTCGACCTGGTGCGTTCATGTATTGACATGCATCACGGGAATGCCTTCTGCTTGACCCCCGATTGTGTAATAAAGTTACCCTGGGATACTCCATACACATTTTCAAACAGTCATTCTGTAGTAAATTCCAATCTGCACAGAGTTTATTTGGAACGGGGAAAGCCAAGAATCAACCTACCATTTTAAGGGATGGTACCTCCGATTTTATCGTGATTTGGAGACGGTTTATTGGATTTCCCACATTAAAAATATGTTTTTTTCAAAGCTAAATCATATTTTCTTCGGTAGTTTATGGTTGTTTTTTCCATATCAATGGTGTTAAATCCCGTAAATGATAATTACAACTTCCATAAACTGATAATTGTTCCATTATGTTATGGTAGTTTATGGGTAATTATCATTAAATCCCGTAATTATCCCATAATGATCGTTCTTCCCACTGCTCGGCCGCTTCCCAGGCCATCCTCTTCCTGGAGATGTTTCTGCGCGACGACAGCGAAGCGCGAAAGTTGAAGACGGGCTGTGAGGCTTGGCGCGATGCCAAGGAGGAGGAAGCGCAGGAGGTGAGATGGGCCATGGAGTTCCCTTGGGGATACTCTCAACTAACAGAACTAGAAAATAGGTGATTTACAGATGGTTTACCTATTAAGAATTATGTTTTTCCATGTGTTTTCCATAGTTATGTTGGTTTACCAGATGGTAAACCTGATATAGATGATAGATGTGGAAAAAACCAAACCATGGGGGGAAACCCTAGGAAAATCAAAAGTGGTGGGTTTTCCATATGTTAATTTGCAGGAGGGCAAATGATTAATCTGGTTGTAAACCATTGTAATTCAGTTAAGCCTGGGGATATGAGCCTCTTTTTAGCCAATTAAGTGGGCGGTGTCTAAAAATATGTGGTAATCATGATATTGATAAGGGTTGATTGATCATCATGACAACAGTATAATTTTCACAGTTGGGTTGATGTTCATGTTACTACAATTACATGTTCAATATGTGTTAAGATCATTCGCGCAATTACTTGCATGTTTGTTGTTGTTGGTCTTCATTGGACAGTGGATGACAATGATAATTCTTTAAAACAATGACATGTCCTTATGGCAGTGTCTACTTTATTTGCTAGCATTACACATATTACATTACGTACCATGGTGATGTCATGGTATATAACGATCAAGCAGATCATCAATAAGAGAATGTATAATTACAAGAATCGGAGCAATCACAGTTACAAGCGTTGTCTTATAAATCGCAATGATAACTATATAACAATCGTAGCATGCATAGAAATGAAAAAGTAATATATATATATATATTTATAATGCTGGAAGAAGACATGGGTGAATGATAGTGATGAATAGGATTTCTTGATGATTAGTATGAACTGTTCATTTTTTCTTATTTTCAAGTAGATCGGGAGAAGATGCTTGATGATGACAATGATAAGAGCGGTTTTTTGATGGATATAGGGGTATCACTATTATCGAAGTAATTTGGGTGTGGGCCAGATTTGACTTATCCTGATTATATGTTTGTCATTATAGCGGTTGTTATCGTTCTTTATTATCACGTTTATTTGTATCGTTAACAAGAGGACAACAAGTGTCCAATTCTGCCGGCCAGCAGGATCAGCAGGCAGATTTGACTCGCAGTTTGAAAACTCGAAGAAACAACAACAGGTGAGTGAAAATATGTTGGCACCCCAAAATGGTTTTGCCATGTTTCGCCCAGAAATGGGTTACACAATGGTTATACCAAGTGTTTTTGCAGTAAAAACGATGTTTTAAATCAATGATCACTGTTTTTTTTGTTTTTTTCCATGGGTTTTTGGGACATTTGGTGGACACTTGACATGTTTTCCGAAGATTTGTTCCAGGCCATTGGCTGGTACCATCATGTGGCCCCGCGCCTTCATCGTGAGATTTGTGAACGCTACTTGGGCCCTTGGTTGACCTCACGATAGATGATTGTGATTAAGGGGAATTATCCCAAAAACGGTTTCACTATTGATGACAAAGAATGTGGGAATTAGTAGGTTTTGTCATGTTTTGAAAATTTTGTCTGTTTCAATGAGTGTAAAGGTGATATTACATGGAATTTTCCTGAAATGGGCGGTACCCAAAAAAATCATCCATATTAATAGGATATATAGGATGTTCCATTGTAAACCATCCTGCTATTGGGATCACCCATTTATGGAAACCCCCATATTGGAGAAGTGCCTGACACATGTTCATTTCATATGAATCTTGGTCTGCCCAGCTGGGCAGTTTGGTTGTGGGCTTCGGTTGATCGACCATCCTTGGTGCAGTTGGTTTTTTTTTTAATTGCTATAACTATAGTAATAACATGTAATAACCACCATAAGCTGGGTAACATGTTCTAACCCCGATAACTATGGTTATACTATGATTGTATCTCCACATTTATCCACTTAGTTCACTGGAACTGTAGGAAAACAACAGATACATCCACCAGAAATTGGCCGAGGAAAATCATCCGTTTTATGTTGTACCCCCTAAGAAAGTAAAATGATCACTGATCGCTAGTTGAGTTTAGATAGTTTAAGTCAACTTATCACGAGTTTAGTTTAAATAGTATAGTAGGATTGACTGATCTTTTCGGGCGCGTTACCATGGATTACCATACATTTTGATCCATAGCCATTCCGGGTCAAGATCGGATATGTCAATCTCGCACCCCGGTCATGCTTTGAGGATACTGCTGTTTGTTGTTTGTTTCTGAATTTACTAGCTGTGGTGCGCTTGGACACAAATTACGCAAGGAATGGATGAACAAAGTCCTGCTGACTGGAGATTGACATGTTACCCTCTGGTAAACATACAAAAAACTATGGAAAATCACCATTTGTCATGGGAAAATCAATTATTTCTATGGCCATGGCTTCCATCGCAAACTGTCAGCCATTGCCAGAGGGTAGCATGCAGATCGCCATACTTCCAACAAGAGTTTGGACCCTCATGATGCTGGTTGATACCCATCGACTACTAGTTTCTGGAAAATCAGTGCCTAGCCCCAAGTTTATTTATTGGTTTAAATCCAATTGTCACTCCCAATAAATCGTTTCTTGGTTTTGTCAAGGGAACAAGATGGAACAAGTTGGCTAGTTCCTCATTTATCCCTTGTTTGGTTGGTTGAAAAAATTGTTGGGGTTATTCCCCAACATCAACTCGTGATTGTTGGAAACCCGTTTGTTGATCGAAACGGAAGCATTTATCTTGAATCTGGGAAACCTTTTTGGCATATCCATGTTCAGCCAAACATTGGGGGTTCAAACGGTTCAAACAACCATAAATGTTGGATTTACCAACAAGGTCGTGCCCGGTAGTTACAATAATTGGCAAAGTTGGTAACTACAACTCCAATCACTCAAGTTTATGCGGGCTATATCGAGTCAAGTTGATAAACATACACCAACAAATATTTCATTGGAGGTCACCAGCCTGTTCCAGTAAATGCTTGGTGAAAGCTCAGGCTACGGCTTGACGCAAATCGACCTGATACCGGCCCTGCGTTCGTTGAGTGGCCAAGAACGACAGACCCTTGGAGCAGCGGAAGTTGACACTTCAGTGGGAATGTCAGGATCCTAAATTGGAGGTACTGTACCATATAATTATAAATTATTATTATAAACATCATATTTGGCAGGGATGTACCCCCTTACATAGCCCTTAGATTAGCCCTACTTAGTAGGTATCTCCAATTTACGATCCCGATATGGTCATTTTCTGTGTTTTTCCCATGGCTATCTAACGTTGGCCATGGTCAATGTGGAAAACCATGGAAAACCCAAGAATAAAGGGATCTCCATGATTGATCATGCTTATATATGCTTGTCATACTTAGGGACTTAATACCTTGTTAGTACTTAATCATAGATCATCATCATTTTTTGCATTCTTTATAACTTAGATATTTACGAAATTTGGGATAACGCCAGTTGTCATATCAAACATAATGTTCCCAATTTTATCCCTCGGTGGTATTCAATATTACATGCCAAAGGAACGGGATTATCTTGGCAGCAATACGGTTCAAAACTAGGGTGAACCAAAAAAAAGCATCAGATTTCATTCTTTTTAAATGCCACATAATATGTTTAATATATATATATACACAGTTCATCTAATACATCGCCCATGAGTAAAACGACAACGTGTCGTAAAACGGAGCTTTTATCCAAGAGGTCGTCAGACTGGCCAGGTGGCCCTCCAAGCCAGGAAATGGTTTCGCGATGATTGCCATCATTCAGATTTTGGAGGTGAAGCTGTGCCCTGGTGACCCTGGTGATGAAGCGACTGTTGGATCATCAGAATCATCATTTATGAAAGTTATATATATATACCTTTGGCAGTTCGGGAACGATAAGTAAGTTGGTTAAACAAAACTAGAAGAATTAGGATTGTTGGTGGATATATACATATATATATATATTTACAGTATTATATACATATAATTAGATAATTATATATATATATATCTATATTAGTTATATAGCTAGATGGGGCTGTAAACGAAGAAACATAACATGGGCCCCCTCCCATGGGGCTTCCAAGATGAGATCCAAGACTCAAGCAGCGTAACCCGCCTTTTGGGGGATCCCAAATCCCAAATCTCATTTGGTTGGCTGCTGTATATCCCCTATATCCCATTAGAGTCCATTATGTCTCAGATTATCCCACTAATTATAAATATAGATATATATATATATGTACATATATATATATATACATATAACTATATAAATATATATCCGATTCTATCCCATTGTATGCCATTGTATGCCACCACAATCCACTATATCCCAGTACAACCCATTTATTCTTTTATATCCCCAGGAGCCATACCCATAACGTGTGCCCATAAAATGGTGGGTATTTTAGATCCCCATTACATAAGCCAGTTCCAAATGGAATACCCGTCATTACTAGGTCAATCTTACATGGATACTTTAATCCTTTAGTCTTGTGGTATTAATGGGAATATCTACAAACCAGCAAAGAATTTAGTTTTTTGCAGGGTATCTAAGATTGGCAATGATTATCGTAACTGTCCTAACCTATTGGTATCTCCGATGTTCCAACGGTAGGGACTCAGGTAGGGAACCTCTTGGCGCGCTTGATTCTATGGGCAGTTCGACAGCCAGAAGCTCCGGTGAATTGGCGGCAGGTGAACCATAAAAACATCCTGGTTGATTGGTAATGAAACTACCCTCTGGTAATTTAACATAGCTATGGAAAATCACCATTTTTAATGGGTAAATCCACTATTTCTATGGCCATTTTCAATAGCTATGTTAGTTTACCAGAGGGTAATGCGGTTAAAACAATAGTAAACCATCCCCAAAATCATCATTTTTATGGATGGTATAAACCATCAAGAATGTGGTGGTTAATTATTAAGTTTTACCCATATTAGTTTATATAATGGGATGTGATATTGTTTTAAAAGCTCAGGTAAACCATCAAAGTTACTTGGAGGATCATCCCACTTAGTACCTAGCTAGCAACACTAATTAATTCTGCAAAATCAATGGCCATTTCAGGTGCCCAAATTGGAGCTACCTACCATATACAAGGCCAAGGTAGGGGCTATGTAAAGGCATATTTCTACCAAATATGTCCTCATATGGTACAGCACCTCCTTTAGGGGTCCTGAAATCTCGACTGAACGCAGTAACTAGTTAGCAGCACTGATTACCAACCACCTTATCCCATGTTTAAGTCGCTTATAAACCCCACTTACTAACCAGGTAGCTCCTAAGCGGGGTGATCCTCCAAGAACGCCCCTGTTGATTCTTGATTGGGTATTGCCGAGGGATTCACCATCGCATATTGTTTTTAACCGAAAGCTCATACTTACCTTAAATCAACTCAATTTAACTCATGAATGATGCTTGATTTATGTTGATTTGTTCTAGTTTTGTTTTTCATTACTTAAGGTTTATTGGGAATGGTTACAACCCACGGTAGGGATACTAACCAACCAGTATGATGGGGTTGGATAGGGGTATGTTTCATGGCGAAAAAGACATCAATCGCCATGAGGAATCTTAATTTTTCACCAGTCAAAAGATGGGATGTGTAGTTTAAGGGATGTCTTTTGCGGTTTCAATATATAGGTTTCCATATGTTTCCATAGGTGTTCATAGGTGTCAGAGTTAATGACCGATCATGAATTGGGATCAGCAACAACGAAGATTGGAAATTTACAAGACAAACATGCAATGCTGCTTAAAACGACAGTTTTTAAATTTGTGACATGTCGAACTCATAGAATGTGCCCATCCACGTAAGTAAAAAATCAGACAATCCTTTTTCCTTAATATTAAGTAAGTACACATATGCCACCCTAGACATCCTGGTTTAGTGTTGGTTCAATTCATTTCATTTCGGAGAGCCATAGGGGTGGTTTTTAACAAAAGCAGCTAAGATTATATATTCTTTTGCAGGGGATCTAATATTAGCAATGACTTAGAATCGAGAATATTGAGAAATATCGGATGCGTTTTTCTATATATTCTATATAATTATTGATATGTCCAATACTAAATGCGATATTTAGATATCAGTGATCCCATTATGTCCAATACTTTTCCCTCTGTGATCCCAGTTTAACAACGTGCACATGGGGTGGTCTTACCCTCCGAGAATCAAGGGTGGCTTGCTTTAAAATCCACCATTTCTAGATGATTTTCCGAACCAACTTTCTCACTTACTGGGAATTTCCAGTACCACGTTTGATTACCGGAGGGTACATGGATGGTACCCACTGTATTGAAATAATTGCCATTGAGTTTGTTGATTTCGACATCCAAAAATGGTTGCTTTAGCCATTTATAGTTGATTTGGAGTTTATTGAAAATTCCCATTGATTGCCATTAGTTGCCATTAATCACCATTAATTGCCATTAGTTTCCATTAATCACCATTGATGGTTGATTTACCAAAACCAGTGATTTTCCAGTTCGCAACCTACTAGTGTACCAGAGGGTGGGATTCGTTTCGTGGCAGGCCCGACATCGCGGCTCATTGGGGGCACCCCTAGATCCCGACTGTTGGTGCAATGGCAAGACCATACGACACTTGGTCTTTTTTTCGGTGGAAGGGAGATGCTGGGAGTGAAAAATACATTATTATTTAATATATGGAGGTTTCCTGAAATAGGGGTGCCCCAAAATCAATTGTTAAAAAAAAACTATTAAAATGGATGATTTTGGGGGTACACGCATTTAGGGAAACCTCCATATGTATATATAGATATTAAATCCTTTACTTGATGTCCATCACTGGTTGATGATGGTTAATGTGAACTGAGGAAAAACAGATCACTCCTTTTTATCGGGTTTAGGGTACAATTTCGATAGTTATCACTAGAAGGGACCCCCGCAATCCCTCTCTGTTTTTAATGGGACGACCGAATTTCGCGATCCGAGGAATACTTCCGGGCTGGACTTCAGAACATTCCATTCGACGTGACAAAGATCTCCTTCGATTGGGACAACAAACCGACGCTAGAAGCACGTTTCGATGCATGAAACAGTTTTAAAAAAAAAAAAACATGGTAGTTTTCATGGCAAGATGGCTGGAAAGTCAGTATGTTTTTCCTGCGAGAATCATGGTCAGATGGATGATGTCAGATATGTTGACTGATTTTCGGAGATCCAACCTCATCCAACATGGTCCAACATGGTTAAGCCATTCTTGATTAAGCCAAAAGAAATGAATGAAACCGATCTGTTTTTGATTCTGTACGCCCGAAAAAAGCGCAAAGGTTGGTTTTTGAATCAAAGAACTTCATGGTCATATTAATGTTGATGCACAAAAACTCATTCAACATACGGAAGCCATGGCCCATCTAGCGCGACGATGAATCCCTCTGAAAAATGGTGAAAGTGTCCAGTTCGCAGACTGTGATAGATTACCAGAGGACCTCTATGTTTCAGGGTACTATATAACCATAACATGATTTTTTTCCTAAAGTCTTTCAGGGTAGTAGCACATACAATTGGTTCATGATTTTTTCCCAAACTTTGGAGGGGTACGGTATGTTTCAGGCTAAAATCCCATGGAGGGCTCCGGGGGGCTCTCAGGATTGGTTACTCCTTTATGCTGGTGGCCATGTAACGATTCCCTTCAAAGGTCGTGCATGTGACTTGGCTGAAGGATGAGCCATGGCCCAGCTACCCGCTGCTAATTTAAGACATACCTATGGAAAATATGCTTAAAAACCACACAAAATGGATGATTGATTGGTTGAAATGAAGAATATCTTCGGGACGGGAAAAGTATAGCCTCTGGTAATTTAACAGTTTGCTATGGAAGCCATGGCCATAGAAATAGTTGATTTACCCATAAAAAAAATGCTGGTTTTCCATAGTTATGTAAACGTTTACCAGGCCGGGTACCCTCTGGTCGTTTAAAGCTATGGTTGCCCTCCATTCATAGCTACACTCAAAACCTTAGAGGATCAGCCCCCGCATGCCAGAGGTGATTTACCCGGCCTGGTAAACGTTTACAAAAAACGATGGAAAACACCAGCATTTTTCAGTTCGGTAAATCAGCTATTTCGACTGGGCCATGGCTTCAATAGCGAACTGTAGCATGAGTTCGATAGCTACGCCCTGGAAAACCACTGGTGATTGGATCACTGAGTCACTAACCGAATCTGAGTTAAAGTGGATTATGAACTAATCCATAGTAGTTTTTTTTACGAAAGATCCAGTACAATGAAATGCGATAGGGGTATGTTACCCAATCATCAATGGGGATCTAGCAAACAATAAAGAGCATTTAACCAAAACAGGTATGTATATATATATATGCGTGTGTATATATGTATATATATACTGGTTGGTGGTTTGGAACATGTTTTATATTTCCATTTATTGGGAATGTCATAATCCCAACTGACTTTCATATTGTTCAAGATGGTTAAAACCACCAACCAGATATACATATATATATATATTATATTATATATTATATATTATATATATATATGATCAACAACACAATATGGGTCTGTCCAGAAATGCCGTAGCTCCCCCATTTGTGGCGCCAGGTTCGAAAATTGATGATCCATGGGACCCATGTCACTAGATTTGGAGTACCCTCTGGTAATAGCTGACATAGCTATTGAAAATCACTATTGTTAATGGGAAAATCCACTATTTCTATGGTCATTTTCAATAGCTATGTTAAATTACCAGAGGGTAACCACCATGACCAAAAAAAACCTCCACATCGATGACGAACTAGATCAATGGCCATGCAACAGGAACCTAAAGGAACCGATTCATTGGAGGCACCTACCATATATAAGGCCGAAAAATAAGGCCTAAATTTTAGGGAATATCCCCAGAAAATATGGCCTTATATGGTACAGTACCTCCATTTTAGGATGCTGGTGCATCTCAAAGCTAGAGAAAGCTGTCTATGATGGCAATTCAAATGTGACGGACCTTGGTTTGCGTGCGCTTGCAGAGCTTAAGCACATGCTCCATCTCGCCAAAGCCATGAATCGTGGTGAATGGGGATGGGCGTACAACTTTCGCAATTTCAACGCGCAGCATTCAAACCGTGATATGGCACGTTTCTACCAGCTCATCAAAGAGTTGGGTCTGACCATGGTCAACGACAAGAGTTGGCTTCGAGGCATGGAGTGGCTAATTGAGGCCGTGGAACAGACCTATATCCGAGCTGAGGGAAAGGAAGCTTTCAAGCGTGTGCTACATGGTTTATTGTCCGGCATACGTGCCACACAGGGCATAAACACAATCCTCAACATCACATATACCTACGCATCATCAACCTTGTTGCCGACAGGTTGTATCCGGCATCCGAAACAAAGGAGTGCAAATCACATGGTGATGATGTTTCAGCTATTGTTGACAGCTGGTTCCGAGGTGTGTTGATGTATTATGTAAAATTACCATTGATTAGATGGGTTTATAGACCAACTTAGAACTAGGCGCGCTCTTCCTGTGTTCAAGGCATTTGTGATGTTCACTTGGGGTATAGAAGCTTGACGCTTGATGAACCCCACTTTTTTCTCCTCTAAAATTGCAGAATCTGCAGATTTACTGAAAGACACAGCAAGTAGTTGATGGAATACTCGAGCATCGGAATGGTCAACATCAGTATTGGGTACCCTCTGGTAAACTAACATAGCTATGGAAAGTCCCCATTTTTAATAAGTAAATCAACTATTTCTATGGGCCATGGCTTCCATAGCAAACTGTTAAATGACCAGAGGCTACAAGGTGGTGCCCCCCACAGTTACCACCGTAATTCTTGGGCCAAGAGTTTGTAGTTGAGAAGACCAACTTGGTGATTTTGTATCAACATACATCAGCTCTATATTATATATATATATATGTATATACATATGTATATATATATATACTTGTACAAACACATATATATATATAGTCCATTGAATTCCATTATATTCAATCCCATTTTGATTGGTTATTCCCAGCTTCACATGTTCTTCCCAGCAGTAATGGCTCAGGTGGCTTGATGACATTACTGGGTCCGGATGCACCAAGCCGCTTCGTCTCAGCAGCAGATCCTGGAAGATAAAAGTATGGTTTCCATTTTTGTTTCAAATATGTTTTAGATATCTATCATTCTCTATCTTAGTGTTGTGCTGCCTCATATTGTTCTCCACAGATGTTTCTGTGTTGTTTGTCCACTATGGTTTTATAAATATGCTGGACAAAGACTAATGCCGGGTGTCCAACAGCTTCCTGGTTTCCGAGTTTCAGGTGGTGACTGGGTTGTGATGACCGAAAAAGTGATTTTGACACTAGTGTGCTCAGTAGATAGCAGGTAAGAGACCAAAAAGACCTCCCACCTAAAAACATGAACTTCTCCGATTGCCCCTTTTTTATTATGATTCTACTTTGGGCATAGCAGCTTGCCCAATCATATCTCCAAAAAGTAGATCCAAACACCAAAAAAGTAGATCACCAAAAGTAGGAACGCTGGAAAGGTCTGTATGTCATAGTGTCATAGTTTTGTCCAAAGATAGGGGGATACCCAAAAATGGCGCTTTCAACGAGTGACATGATAAGCAATGAAAAAAAACGGGATTTTATCTGATTATGATATAATAGATATTGATAATCAGATTATCATTGAATTATGATATATTCATATTTATCTACATTATATTTATCAGATATTATATACTAATTAGGTATTGATAATATTTATCTGATAATATCTACATTATTTATACCATAATCTGATTAATATCCATCATACCCGATTTTGTTTGGAACTACACGGAGCCTGTTTGTCAACGAGGTCTCAAAGTTCAGGTTGATGGTGGCCCACTCCAACGAGTACCGTGTCTCGCCAAGAGAATCCGTTTTAGCTCGATGGTGTGTTTCTTGGAAAAGGGGACAGTTCTCAACAGTGGGCAATCCGCGTATGGGGTAGAACGTTGGGGTCGCAGGATAGGTAAGTTGGTTTTCAACTAATATCATAGCCCATAGCATTTTCATGAGCCTGTCAGCTCCTAGACTACTTCGATTGGTGACTTCTGGCAAAAAATGAGGCCAAGAGGTGTTGAATAGATCAAGAGGACTATAGACTTGATTGTCATGGGCCCTTTTCCAGGAATTTTGGGTGTGAGATGGTAATGTAGAAAAAGAATAGAATGACTATGACAGAATTGTAAACTGTTTGAATTTCCCCACACCTACTATTTTCTAGTCCCAAACAGGGATACAAAATCAATGTTACGTTTTTTAAAGGCTCCCATGTAGCATATTGCTTGACGTGCTACATGTTGGCGTTTCCTGCCACGTTTCCGAGGCTCTTGGACCGCTGGTGCTACTACTGGAGAGATGCAGTTCTTTTGCTCCGTTGCCTGTCCATCAAGTCGTGGGATTTCATTGTCCAACATGTTTCTTTGGCTTGTCACAAACAACACGTTTTTGTTGGTTTTTTTTTTTAAAGATGTTGCAGTTGGTTGAGACACATATTTTCAGTGCTTGGTAAAACGACCCACATTTATCATCATTTATCATCTTTGTAGGTAAAAATGGTCATTTTCAATCACCACGTCTTTGGCGCTTGGATCACGGTTTCAGGCGATGGTCTTAGCGACACCACCCACACGCTCTACTTGGAGGTGGAGGCCGGTTCACGACGGGTTACCGTTACGGGTTACCATGGGTTACCCTCCAGTCCATGGCGCGAGATCCACCATAAATGACTGGTTGGTGGTGACTGGAACATGTTTTTTCCATTTGGGCCTGGGAATGGAAAAAATCATACTGACTCACTAACTCCATATCATCTCCATGATTTTTCAGTCTAGGTTGAAACCACCAAGCAGATGATATTTCAATGGAGCTTGAATTTGGGAACATCCATGGACGCAAATGCCATGAGGTATCCACCAGCTTCTAGGGATCACCAACTTGTTTCGACAGGGGGGGGTTTACATCAAAAATTCCCATTCTCCATGAAGGAAACATGCCCATTTATGGCTTTTAAACATAATTATATATATAATATCATGATCCCAGCTATTGAAAATTATTGAAATGATGGCCCCATTTGGGGCAGCTTTTGAGCACTATGGCAATGTGCCCATTTAGTTCATAGATGTCCCAACTAGCCATGTTTGATTTTAGTAAAATGTTCCCGCCTCTGTGCAGAAGACCTCGCAGATGTTGGGATTCACAGCAACCTTTTGCCAAGCTTGACATGAGGGGTTACCACGTGCATTTTCTATGTACTATATAAACAAGTACACAATGTCAGTTGCAAGGAGTTGTATCACTGATTAAAGATGAGCTAGGAGATTGGAAAGTCTGGTGGGTCAAAAGCCTGGTACCCGTACCCTAAGTCCCTAAGTCAAAGCTAGTGTAACTGAATGCTTATTCTCCTATGGCAAATTCATAACAAACGACCCATCCCCACGAATAGATGTTGAATGCAGGAAAAAAAACTTATCATCATTTGATTCCAACAAAAAAAAAGTTTATGTCAGAATCGAATGTCGAATCCGAATAATTACTTAGATAGTTTTACCATGCCCATGAAAACATCCTGTAAAAATATCAGAAGTTCTATTCCCTTCGTTATCTGTCTTTTAGGGGCCTGTAGCCAAAAAAAAACGCTCCCTTCCAGATGGAAGCTTCAGATCACCAATGCCTCAAACGTCCAGCCAGCAGTGAGCTGTGGCTGCAGTTCCTGTGCCCCGCTGGCAGTATGGAGCTTAGCAGGAAGCCCATCCCCCTTTTTCTATCCAAGAATCCAAGACCTTCATCGTTGATCCCAAAGATATCCCAAAGATTTCTAGATCCAAAGTATCCATCATCTGCTAACATCTGCTAAAATGACTAAACCACCGCTGGGTTAAAACCGACGCTTTGTTTGGGGCAGGGCCCCTGGGCATGGGATTTTCCAGGTTTTCAGGGTCTCAATGCGAAAGACTTTGATGACGCAGATCACAGCAGAGATGGCCGGCTACGATCAAAGAGACGGGACTCAAGATCTCGTCGAAGGTCCCCCCATGGCCGTGATGAGCTCAAAATTAGAAGCAGAAGCCGTCGTCGTCGACAAAGAGCTTCAAGATCTCCGAGGGAAGAAGACATGAGACAGAAGCAACGCAGAATTAATTTTGAAGGAGAGGCAAGCCGATGAGAAGGCATTAGCTGAAAGGTTTGCAGAGCCAAGAGATGGGGCAACCCTCAGCTGCTTTCTTTGTGGCCGGCAGGGCTTCAAGGGGCAGTTTGCCCTTTCTCAGCACTGGTGGTCTAAACACGAAGATCACCCAGAAGCAGCTTTGAGATCTGCGTGCTTCTCAGCTCAGTCTCGAGGAAAGGGTGCTTCCTCCTCTGCAAGAGCTGGGCCAATCAGCAAACCAGGATCCTAAATACATGGAGGTACGTGTTTACGTACCATATTTCTGGCCATGTAAATTGTAGGGATATCCCCTGAAATTTAGGCCTGAAAAGTAAGCCTTACATATGGTAGGTACCTCCAATTTAGGTTCCTGAAATGGCCAAATAGCCATTGAACGGTGGCATGCTGATTTTTTTTTGACATAAATTGGTTAGTTGATGTTAGCGTTTAGAAAAAAAATTGATGATGGATTTTTTCCCCATGATTTTCCCATTCTTTTTAGCCTCTGGCAAGCGTTCACAGTGCGTGAAGGAAAGATCCATCCATTTTTTATAGGTAAATGAACTATTTTTATGGGCTATGTATTACCAAAGGGTAGTATTTTCCCATGAGTGTCCCACCATTTCCCCAGGCAGGAAGCTCACGCAGCAGGAGCGCGATGGTGACCATATGGGGTTTTCCCCAAAAATGGGGGATCACCAAAAATGGATGTTGTATTTTTAGTGGAAAATAGCATTAAAATGGATGATAACTAGTGGTACCCCTATTTTTAGGAAACCTCTTTACCGGAATGATTTACTAATGGATAATGATGGTAAATGATGGTTAATAACCATTAGTAAATTAACAATGTAAATGATATCATGTAGTCAACCATTAGTTAACTAACCATAATGGGGATATATTTACTAAAAACCCGATATTGATATATCTATACTAATGGTTAATAATGATGAATATTCTATGTATAGATATAATTATGGGGATGGGCCAAGTTACCTGTGAATTTACCATAGTTTGTGGAATTAACATCCAGCTATACCAGCTACCCATAAACATATGGGCTGGTTCTTCAAATAGGGATTCCCCAATAGCGGGATGGCCTATTTCATGGAAAATCGGAAAACGCCATGGATGATTCCGGGGCACCGTCAATTTCAGGTTTCCCTCCATATGAAATAACATGATCATGTATGGAATATCACCAGTTCTATGGGTACCCCTAGTTATCATCCATTTAAATACGCTTTTTGCCATTATAAACCAACTAGCTATTGGGCTACCTCCATGGATTGGAAACCTCCATATGTGTCTATGGGGTAACAAGAAACTGCGTCATTCACCATTCTCTGGGATGGTCCCATGAATGGACTACGCCTTTCCATTCAGTTGGGAATGTCATGATCCCAACTGACGAACTCATATTTGTCAGAGGGCTTCAAACCACCAACCAGTTATTGTTTGCATATGTTTACATACATTTACTAGACAGATATGTAAGTCTTTGGGGAGAGTATCCATGATTCGCCATGGCCCTCACCCTTCGCACACGAGGACGCCCTCCTCAAAAGTTGTGGCTTTCCTATGCCTGCGCCGTGGAGAGCGACGCCGCTTTGCCTCTGCCAAAAAACCACGGTATCATCCACGGTGGCTGCGAGGTTGACCAGTTAGGATCCACCATCCCCAATGACTTACCATAATTGGATGGTAGAAACCATCACTGCGTGGTGCTTTGGAACATGGTGTTTATGACTTTCCATATATTGGGAAGAATCATCCTAACAGACTTTTATATTTTTCAGAGGGGTTGAAACCACCAACCAGATCAAAATATGAGTGCTCGATTATTTCTTTATTGACATTACTTGGAGGATCATTCCAGTGGTTCATAACCATATTTACAACCCATTGATGGAATTTTTATAACCCCACGAAATGGATACAATTGAAAATTATAAGATTATTGAAATTTATTTGTTGACGAACTACATCTAACCAATGAAATTTGCAAGCCATTTGTAGATGGACTATCACCAGGACCAATTCTCTGGCCCCTTGATGGTCAGCTTCACAGGTCAAACCATGTCAAATCCCGCTTAAAATCACATACTGTACCATCTGGTTATGACTAACATAGCCATGGAAAATCACCATTTTTAATAGGTAAACCATCTATTTCTATGGACCATCTATACCATGGCTATGTTAGTCATAACCAGGCCGGGTAGATATAAATTCATTTCAACTCCAAAATCCCATGGTTAATCCCATGGTTAATCCCATAAAATCAGATTCAGATTCCCATTGAAAAGCCATAAAAAAAACCTGATTTCTGGTGACACCCGGGTGAAGTCCAGCGATTTTTCACAGGGCGATGTGGTGGGTGTGCGGCGTCGACATGGGGATTGGCTTGAGTTAGTCCAGGACGTGGCGACGTAACGAACGTGGGACCGTGGTGAAAGTGAAAGATCCATATTCCTAGGTCAATCTTACATGGATACGAACTACCCTCTGGTAAACTAACATAACTATGGAAAATCACCATGTTTAATGGGAAAACTCACTATAAATGGCCATTTTCAATAGCTATGTTAAATTACCAGAGGGTAATCCTAACTCGTCTTTTTGGTATTAATGGGAATTTCTTCTAACCAGCAAAGAATGTTTTTTTTTGCATGGTATCTAAGATTGGCAATGATTAGTTGTGGTTTGTTGTTAGCTAACCATCATGGGGATACATTATACTAATAACATATCAAAAAAAACATATTTATATCTATGCTAATGGTCAATAATGATGAATATTCTATGTATAGATATGATTATGGAGATGGGTCAAGTTGCCTGTGAATTTACCATTTGCGGGGATGAACATCCAATCACAAGTTATGACTTAGGGTACTTAGGGTACTAGGCTTTTGAGCACCAAATCTAAATCCATTAGTTGTGGTTAAGTCATGGTTCATAGTCAGTTTACTATGGATATATTAGATGATATATGTCATAAATCAATTATACGTCACTATGGTTAATATTTCATAAATCTTGGCAAAATTCTAGTGCCCTCACTGTGGCCTCACTGAAAACATGCTCAGTAAGCGGAATCATCTTCGGGTAAGTGAAATATTGTAATTTGCCCAGATAAATATATGGTTTTGGTGTGGTTGATGATATCGCCAGTTAGTGGTGAATATTCCATAAATATAGCCATGATATAGCCATTATATCACCATTTACAGATGGAAATTTGCTAGGTCATGTTGATGTCACCACTTTGTGGTTAATCTTTAGTGGGCAGTATGAATTTCCCAGTGAGATAATATATGCCCAATATTCATGGGGTTGGTAAATGTCCCTTTCTGGTGATTTTGCTCACATCACTTCAACAAAAGCTATTTGTTGGAGATTATGATCCCCAAATCTGTGAAAAAAAGTCATGAAAAACCTGGGGATTCCCGGTCGCAGAAAACTCACGCCAGCGTCGCGGAAGATGATCCCAGATCCGACTGGACAAAGTATTTGTTTCGGACCTCTTTTTCCCAGTTGCATGCCAGGCCATCACCATATCACGATAAGTCCGACAAGTGATCTTTACTAAGCGATATCCCAAGAAAAAGCCGTCCTGATTTGGCGATCCGCAATCAAAGCAATGTAGTGCTGCCATTTTGATCATCCCCAAGTCATCACCATTTTTATGAGTTGTATAAACCATCCCCAAATGGTAGGTTTTGCATTGGGTTTACCACGTTATAGATCTTGTTCTGAAATGGAGCTATTCCATGAAATAATGTCATGATCCTCACCCACCAGCTGTTGTGTCCAGGTTTAAAATCGATAGTCTTCTGGGCAGATATTCATTACTATTGTGCCTTTTGTGTAGCATTAACACCAATGTTCTGATTAATCTCAGTCAGTTCTAGTGATTTCATTAGCCCACCTCACAATTGATGATGGACAGGGGGAACCACCCTAGAAGGGCCTTATTTGAGGCAGATCAATGGCGTCTGCAGCTCGATGGCCGATTACTAACTCCATACACACGCACACGTTTAACGCCTGAGATCAAGATGGAAGCTTTCGAAAGGTGCTGGTGAGCGTGGGAGCTATGGCCAAAGCTTCATAGGCACTATAACTTGGGATATTTGATGAAGCGGGATCCAATACGGTAAAATCCCAATCATAGCCTTGGCAAAACTTCAGTATAGCATGGGTGTTTGGTAGGTGACAATTCCCAGTTATAGATGGTTTTTCCAGCCAAATCGGTGATTTCTATGGATTTCTGATTGCGTGATTGTCGGAGGGATCAAAAAAACATCCCAAAAAACGGTGTGAATAGTGGCCTACCCTACCCTCTGGTAAACTAACATAACTATAGAAAATCACCATTTTTAATGGGTAAATCCACTACAAATGGCCATTTTCAACAGCCATGTTTGTTTACCGGAGGGTATCTGGTGCTGCATTGCTTGTATGACTAGGATCGCTGGGGATCACTGGCTGGATGTTTTCAAGAGATCATCATGAAACAAACTATCGAAAGTGTGAGAAAGTCCATAATACCCTCTGGTAAACTAACATAGCGAACTGCAAAATCACAATCTTCAATAGGTAAATCAACTATAGTTGGTCCATTTTCGCTATGTTAGTTTACTGGAGAGTGACTCCTACCATTTGGAATTGTTTTAAACCTTTTTTTAATGGATGGTTTATTATTGGGTTTACCACATTCATGTTATTTGGGATTAGTAAACCCCCTGCAAAAAGTAAGCCATCGTCGGCGGTCACAATCAACCCCGGGCGAAGAAAGTAGACCAACTTCGGGGGGTGGTTTTGTTTGTGGTTACCCTCTGGTAAACTAACAAAAAACTGTGGAAAATCACCATTTTTCATGGGAAAATTCACTATAAATGTTGATTTTCCATAGTTATGTTAAATTGCCAGATGGTAAACTATGTTCAGCAATACTTGGTTACTTTTAGTCTTCGTTTCCAATTAGGCAGCTGCTGCTAGTGAACACTAGGCAGGCGACATCGCACCTCCTAAGCAATCATCACCAAACTGTACAGTCGCCGAAGCCTGTAGAGCTTGGAGTACACACCAGGATTGCAGCAGGAATGTTTCAAGATGGGCAGCACTAAATCCCATCGGTTTCTATACTGCAGTAGTCTGGGGCTGCGAAAACCTCTGTATTAGGAAATTATTGCATCGTGATCCCTATTCAAACTGCCATTTTAGGCGCTCCTTGCTTTCCAGGCCCGCATGTTCCACGGCGCATTGACAAACCCCGCCCTGAAAAAGGGCAGTCATTAGGGAGCCCACCTAGAGCCTTTTCTTGGGCCCCCCACCCACCCAACATCTCTTTACCGTGACAAGATGATGGAAGCGTTCGTGACCTTGCTGCCTTTGGCGGACATGATTGCCTTAAAGCTCGCCTGCTTTTAGCATCTCTTAGCCATTGAAGCAAATTGCAGGGAACAAGGCTGGTTGCTGATCAAATGGTGACAAACCAGGTGTTTTGGACATGTTTTAAGCCCACTTTGCCATTCACCACTTGGGACAGCTGTTAGCCACATGACATGCTTTCCCATGGATGACAGATGGCATTTGTTCGAATACTAGAATGACCTTTGACAAGTGATGGTATTTCACTGACTAGTAAGATGGAAACCGACGCTGAAAACAACCCAGGGTTCGGTCTCTTCACTTGGGGCTGGCACTACTTTCAATGGGGTTTGACCAGGCTCATTCACTTAGGAATTGTTTTGCGAACAGGCATATGAAGAGTCAATGCACCCCCAACATGCTTGCAATGGCAGTTCCAGCGGTTTCGAAATCACGTCAGCATGTTCCAAATGGTTGTGGGCCAGTTTTACCTGCTTGGGATGTGCAGAGGTAATCCCTACATGTCATTGGCCCCACTCTACTGGCTGGGGCGCCTTGGTTTCTTTGAGCTAGCAGGACTGCGAAGTACGTTTCAAGAAACGAGAAAGCCCGGAGCAACCCATCACAGCTGGGGTTCCAAGTGCAAGGTGTCTGTTTGAGGGTTCAGGGTCAGGGGCCTAGCTGCTGGTTGGAGGAAAATCTTGGTATGCGGCAAAGACATATATGATATGATTTGCTCGATTTAAAAGATAGATGTACATGTGTCAAATCCGTTTTTGTTTGTGCGCGTGTGATCAAAACACTGATACTTGCAATATGTATTCGGGACAGACAGGTATTTGCAGTTTGTGGACACAATCAACAAACCAGTGTATATTCATGCAAATGCTTGACCGGGGTCCTTCAAGGAATGCGAATTCAACAGGCATTTGGTTGGTCACCAAGATGTTTGGTGAGAGAAAACACCGGATGTCACCATGCGCATGCGGAAAAAATCAAGGATGTTGTTTTAGATCTCTTAGATCCTTGACAAAATGGAACAAAACGACAGTATGCCTTGGCCAATGATATTTCAGGAATGACAGGCAGTGGAAGCATCAAAGATGCTAATGCCACCATTACAACTACCTTAAGTCTTGCAAGTCATCTTACATGTCCGAAAAATATGTTTTAAGTAAGGGAGGCCTACTTTAGGGTGCAGTTCCACTAATTATTTGGTGATACAGCCGTGGTTAATGGGGTTATATCCCAACTTGTGGATTTATGGATGTTTTAACCATAGTCATACT